AAGTTATTAATAGACATATGGCGACGAGAGTATCGTAACGATTGTAAAATTATTAAAAAACGATAAAATGTATAATCAGAATAAAGATAGCATTATAACACTTGTATAAGATGTATGGAATATATATTATTGTTATTAATGAATATAGGTCATTACTGTGAAAAGTAACTATGAATATTCAGTTTTTCGATATAGAATAAAAATTTTCTGGCTATTTTCTTTTCATTGCCAAAGATTTTTTGTTTCTTCTATTCGTTTTTTTTAAAAAATATCGTATCTTTGCTATAAAATCACTCGGTTCATCGTTCTCGCTTTTGTTTTACGTTGAATCTCGTTTCGGTTGACCGAATGGCTTGGAAATAAATCGCCGCCTCGTGATTTACGAAGTTTCTTGTACTTTCTCTATATCGCGTGTCTCGATGCACGTACCAACGATTCCAAGAGATTGTTCCTTGACTGGGATTAAAGTAGAGTACGAGAAGAGTAGAGCACGTTTTTTGCTAGGTGGATAACTCGATGCGTGAAGCGGATCCCGAGTTATACGATACTTATTTACGAGAATCGTGGCGAGATTGAAACGATGATGAAGATGTCGAGAAACGTGTACGATCGTTGGAGATCTAGTTTAGATAGATGCTTTTTTTTTTTAATTCATATCTCGATTTCTTTGATCTTCGTATATTCCATCAACTACTTGGCCTGGCCTAAATTTTTTAATGAAATTTTCAAGGAATTAAACATTCCATCCATCTCTCCTTAATATCATATCGTATTACTTTCTCTTCGAGAACAAGAAGTTCAGTGGAATTTTTTCAATAAAAAGAGACATAGAACTTATTTTTTTCTAATAACAAATTAAACATAACATACATTACATTATATTAAAAAACCAATATATGATGGAACAAGTAAAAAATCTATCTGACTTTCTCCTATTCCTTATTTATTCGAACAAATTTCATAAAAATCACGAACAAACCTAATCATTGAAAATCTTTTACGCAAAAAAAAATAAATCAAAAACCAAGAAACCAAGAAATCTTTTCCTTTTTCTGAATCGTTCCTTATTTATTTGATCAAATTTCATAAGAACAAAATCACGAGCAAATCATATTTAATCATTAAAAATCCTTTATAATATAACATAAAAAAATAAATCAAAAACTAAAAAATATACTACTATATATATAAAAGAAGAATGAATACCTATATCATATATACCTATCATATATCATATATTGTTCTCGAGTGAACAAACATACAAACAGACGACAAAAGAAAGTAAACCAAGGAACCAAGAAACCAAGAAATGTTCTCCTGGACTTGGATCGTTCCACAATCCGTCGACACTCGACGAGATACTCTCATTGACCGGCATATTTCCGCTCCCACGAGCATCGAAATCTTTGATCGCGGTTTCCAGTTTTCCATCGCCGCGCGCACATTTTTCTTCCCTTATCAATGGGAGGTGGAGGAGGAGAATAGAGGAAATTTCTCCTCGCAATTTCTCTTTGACCGACGATCAAACCTTCCCCCTCGAGAAGTTCCTCGCCAAGGTACGGAAAGACCGATGAATACGAATCAGCGGGGCGGCCGACTTTTTAATTACAAGCCGTCTTCTACCGGTGTAAGCAATTTTCCGCGCCGCCTCCCATCGATCTTCGAGACGGCTGGGAGGAGAGAGGGAGGGGGGAGGGACGGAGGGGCATAAATGACCGCTTACGAAACTTCTCGGGCAAAGTAAGAAGAGTAAGCGCGCACACGACTGATGAATGGACGATGTGTAATTCCGATTGCGAAGAGAGTTTTTCGTTTCGCGCACGACTGTTTTGTAATCAGGCGATGAGAGATCCCTGCGCGCGGAGGAAATTGGGCTGGGAGAGAAAAGAGCGAAATGATTCGCTGATTTTTCATTTTTTCTTTGACGGGGATTTTTCTTGTTTTTTGTATTTTTTTTTTTCTATCACATTTTACGAATAATGTTGTTGTTTCTTTTTTTTTTTTTTGGAATTTATGAAGCAAATTTGTTCACGTATATTTCGTGTATTTTTTCGTTTTAATAATTAACGCGATGAACGCGTTTATATCAATTTTGCAATACGGAAAGTATACAAAGAAATATAAATAAATAAATGGCAAAGTGAATAAATTGTTTAATATTTTTTTTTTTTTTTGTAAAGTGTTATATATGCGTGATACGTATAACGATGTTGTTAAGGTAATTTATATTTTAAATCGAACGAAAAATTGATGATTTTGTACAAGAATTGGATTCGAATTAATTTTTTATTCGTATTAAGCACGTTATTTTATTCCAATTTTTTTTCCATGATCCGTTTCCTATGTAACGATGTTCATAATTACTAATTATGAAATATTACATGATAATTGGAAAATTAATTAGATGTACGATCGCGATCAGAATACCTTCGATGTTGTCGTTTATAATTAACGATTGCAATGGGAATAATTAACCGTCAAACAATTACATAATTACGTAATAAAAATCGATATCGCTCAAATCTCCTCTCTATGTTTAATATCGAGCTTTAAGAAAAATATACTAATCATGTACATTTACAATTTATAATCTTATAATTTTAACTCGCAATCTTTATCAAAATGTTGAAAGTTCATTTGATATATGGAACAACTATTAATGTAACAAAGTTCTCCTCGATCAATAATATTTTTATTTTATTACAACATAAAATTTACTATTAAGAAAGAAAGTCTAAAATACACAATTAAAGTCTATTTATATGATTAGAAATATACATTCTATCTACAATACAAAATAAATAAAAAGATTAATTCATTGAGTATCATTTATCAAGCTTGTAAAATTGTTTCTTAATTAATAATATTCGGCATATCATCGCGTATTTTATAGAAAATGTTTCGTAAATTTCTCTTATATGAATTCCCTTCCAATTAATCCGAACGATAAATCATGAATTCTATGCTTCTTTCCCAACAGGTTCATACAAATGTAATTCTTCAACATTCCACAAAACGTGTACATGATTCCACAACAACAAATTTCCTATTCCTCCTCTCCTTCCTTTTAATTAAACAGCATAAATATGATAATTATAGACGGAATAAATTATCGGACACGGCGAATTATCAATGCTGAACGCGCCATTTTTAACGCTTAACGTAACCGAGAAGATAGCCCTCCCAACATAACATCCCAATAAACAAGATTTATTCGGCTGGACTCGATATTTCCATATCTCTTAACGGTGAATTAGAAGGAAGATTCGACTTAACGAAGACGGCAATAACCGTCTTCGGGCCACTTGTAGCCCGAGTTCCAAATTAAAAGTCCAATTTCACCCCTACCCTCAACTCTCATTTGAAAGTCTGATTTAATCGGCCCGCCAAGATTATTCACCAAGGGTCGGATCGAATTTGTATCGCAAATTGTCCCGCATTAAAATTGATTCTCGCTCGTACGCGTGCCTATTTACGCGCAATATCCTCTCTCTCTCTCTCTCTCTCCCCTCCCCTCTCGTCATCCAATTCCCCTCTCTCCTCCACGCCTCTAATATAACCGTGTCGCGATAATCGGATTTCTTTCCATCTCTCTTTCTCGATAACGAGTTCCTGATTTTTCATCGTTTCGTAATTTCGCGGGCTGACGCGAGACTTCCGCCAGGAACGGATGAATAAATGAATGTGACGGGAGATTCGATCCGGTGAATTTGTATATGTTAACGCGAGAAACAACGATTTCCATCCACTTCAGGTTCTATTTCAGACGGCTCTCGCGCCCTTTTGTTAATTGTCGACGAAATCGATCGGAGAAGAAAGAGAATAAGAAAGTGGCTTTATATTTTGGAGCGACTAATAAAATAATTTATCTTGTTTTTAAATTTATATAATATTTTCTTTGATTTTAAGAAAATTTTATTACATAGTGAATGTGTATGCGTTAATGAGACGTGCAAACGATTTCTCCATTTAATAATATAATTTCTCCACTTTCGCTTCTGCAGAGATAATTGTTTTTGCGAGGTAAATAATTTTATATACGTGTGTAAATTTATTTAAATTTAAATAATTTTCTATTTTCGATTTTGAAAGAAAATTTTATCCATTTTGTAATAATAATTGCACGAGTTTTAAGTAGTTTTGATTGAACTAATAGTTCAAAGAAGGAGTCTATGTTAATATAGAATTTTTGCAGGTAGGAATTTTGCTAGATTGAAAATGATAATAAAGATCAGAAGAAGATATATATTAATATTTACTGCAGTTCAATATGGCCTGATGTCAATTCACTCCTATTAACTAATTCCTATCTTCTTAATTTATCCTAAGAAATTGTTAAAGGAATCAATTTCTGTGACAGAACTTTGTTATTAAGACTAAGAGCAAAATTACTATTATTAATAGAATACATAAATAGAATTATTAATAGAATACATTAATAGATCTATGATTGAAGTCAAAGGTTTATTAGGATCTCTTTTTCTTTAAAATAGAAATTATTGAACTTTTGGAAAAAATTATATCTGTCTTAGAATAATACATATAACATAGTTTAAATAAATAATTCAAATACTGAACGTTCCATTAATCTATATCATTTTTTTTATTTTGTAATATTGCAAAGTTATTTATTCTACTTATCTCTATTGAGAATATGCTTAACCTTCAATTCAATCCATCATTAATTTTTCAATCCAACTAACAAAATTATTTTTCAATTCTAAATGTTCAATTTCAACATCTCCTATCCTTTGATCGCCTTTGACAATGTTCTCCGCATCTTAAACGAAATCCACTTCCTCAATTGGAATTTAAGGAAGCCCGTACTCTTACTCGAAAACTTATTTTCGAATCGTCGCCATTAAAAACCTCGTTCATGGAGGGTGGCCAAATTGATCTCGTTACAATCGGAGACCGTGTAGCCAATCTATTTCGATTCCACGGCTCCGAGATATTGGCTCTCTTTCTCTCTCTCCTCCCAGTGACCATGTGGAACTTACCCGTGGTGGAATTGATGAGAAAATAACCCTCTGGATTGCCGCTCGTGATGGAGAAGGTGAATCGTTGAGGCGAGACGTCGCGATCGAACGCCCGTATCTGGAGAACGCTCACGCCTGCCGGTGAGTTCTCGAGGACCGATGGATAATAGACCGGAACCTCGGTCAATGGTGTGTTGTCGTTCTTGTCGAGCACCTCCACGTACACCTGCACGGAAACCGGCTGTCGATTATTTACGAGACGTGGATATCGTACCTGCGATTGCTTCTTTGCCAAATAATGCAAAAAAATTTGGCGTTTGGCCGTGCAATTTGTTCATTTATATGTAGGGATCTTTTGTATAGGGAGATTCTCTGGTAAGTGGAATCGAAACCAGTGCTGCCATCTAACTATAGCGGTGGTATAGATGGATAACCTAGTTTTTATTATTTTTGTATCATTTACGATATGATTTGTCGATGAAGAAATTGTTGTTCTGTCATCGATTGATCGATTAAGATAAGTGTAAGATTTGTAAATATATGGATATATCATTGTAATGTTTAACAAGACGGCAGTACTGTTTTTGAGTTCACCGATAAGAGAGATATTTAATGTACAATGTAGAACTTTGAAATTTGAGTATATATTTAAAAAAAAAAAAATTTTAATTTCTTAGGAACTTGCTTTTCGATAAATTCTCATGAAATTATTTTAAGAGTGTCTACTTGTTTTCTGGTATGAAATTTTATTACGATGTAGGTTTTTATTGAGAATGTATCTACATTACAAGTTAACAAGCGAATAAAAATAAATTTTATTTAACGAAAAAGTCATAAATATTGAAATTGATTTTAACGTGAAATCAAGCGGAAAGAGCAAGAATATTTGAAGCTTAAATTATAGTAATTAGTACGTATCACATCCTGTGTATTTAATTTTCTAGAATTGCTACAAGCAATTGGAAGTGAATATCATTGAATATATTTTTGCATAGTTTGTTAATAATCCTATTTCATATAACGCATCATTAATAACGTATCATTTGTAAATTCTCATTTCCTTATCTCGATAACTTTCTACATGATCATTGATAGAATAAAAAGGTGCAATATTGATTATAGAATTTTAACGCACACGATGAAATTTTAATGTTCATGCTTAAATTACTCAGTGAAACTTTCATCGGTCCATGTAATTATAAGTGTGTTATAAATTAATCGTTTCTTTTCCTGATTAATGGAAAGCCTTTTTCCAATACTGTTAGGTATATTGGCAACATAGTGGCAAGAGATAAGTGATACGAAAAATTTTCCTAGGACTAACATAGTGGTCGATAGAGAAAATTGGTTTCTCAATTCGCCATCGGTTCCGTTAAGAGCTTATATAAATAGGAAGTGCAAAATAAGTGGTTGGTTGATATTTTTCCAATATAATGACAAAACTTTGACAGGAGTGTTTATGACCCAATATACACGATGTCATATAGCAGTAATTTTCTAACGAAGTGCGGTTCTCCTGCTGTATCGTGAAATTTTAAAACGACTATCAAAGGATAAATAACAAACTTGTGAAACTTATTATTAAATTACATTAAATGATTACATTAAAACTCATGAATAATTTTTAAATAATAATAATAGAACGATTTGATATTTCATGAAAGTAATATTCTGCTCAATATTTCTGTTCAAAGTTCTACATTTGATATAATATTTCAAAGATATAAAAAATTTGAATAAATATTATTATTTCCTCTAAATGTTGTTGAATTTCTGTTATAAAAAATTATATTTATTAATATAATAATAACTAACATTTTGTATGTCTGTTTATTTTAACAGCATCAATTTTCTATTATTTCATTCTTAATAATATAGAAAACTATTTTTTTTTCAATTTATTTTTTCTCATGTAACATTAAATTGCTTCTTTAATTGCATTTTATTCAAACAATCCAAGAAACTAACAAGTCCAACTAAAATTTAAATTCATAAACATTGCAAACGTACACAATGACAATAACATCTGGAGAACCATTTTCAGCTAAAAGAGTATTTACTTTTACATAAGAGTTTCCTAAAAATGCTAACTTTGTATCATTAACATACAATGCATAACAGACAATGCACAGGTATGAAACTTTTACAAAATAAAAAGAAAAAATTATTTGAAATATAATAGTTCTCTAATTGTGGTATATATTTATCATTTGTTTGTATTTTTATTGTTCGCAATGTCTTAATAAAAGTTACGAAACGCGTAATATTTTTCTGGATAACAGTAATATATTATACATATAATTTATCTTCTTAATACGAACCTGTAAACTGGAGCTCAGAGGAACTACACCGTGATCCTGCGCGTACACCGTTAACCAATATCCTCTCTTCGATTCCACGTCGAGCACAGCCTTTGTCTTGATGTTACCTGAAATAAGAAAGCATTTTTATTAGAATAAAAGATAATTAACATATTAAAAAAGTAAAGAAAATCAGATGGCACAAATTTTAGGATAGAATTGATTACAATGCAAAAGTTTGATAAGATTATCATGTTCCATTTTCTGTAATTATGAAATAATATACTTGGATTATATAATTATGAATTCTAGAAAAGACTTTGCAATTAAAAATTTCTTTTAAATAAATATTTTATCGAATACAGAAACGAATTTCATATCTAATTTCACTTAATAGAAAACTATCACATAATTTCGATCAAAATATGAAAGATATTCGAATCGATTCTCAGTTCTAACTTAACCTAACCTAATTCACTATTACATTTTAACAATTTTCTCTATGAATCATTCATCTCGAAAAAAGCTGAAAAATCAACTTGATCTTTCATCACCAATCAAAATAAAACTAAACTATCTCCAATCACGGACAAACGTGGTTTCCATACCAAAATATTTAAAAGTCGTCACGTTATCGCGAAACATTTTCACCTTTTCGATATTTCCGTGGGACACGAGGTGAATAGAAACATGTACAATGACAGTAATAAGAAGGAAAAAGGAAAAAAGGAGGTAAAAGAAGAGCGAATAAGAAAAATACAGGTTACGAAACATAAGGAAGGATTCGGTATTACCTTGCAAGATAGGCAACAAGGAGCCGATATGAAATGACGTGCACGTACATGGCGGCTTGCCAGCGACTAGCACCCGCGCGGCTAGAGCAAAAATTGGACCGCATTCCTTGTGTTAACACATCCTGCACACGGTGTTCCGCGATGTTCTTCGATCGTTTTTGTGAGATTCCATTGCCTTACGGGTTTTTACACCGTTCAATGAACGCTTGTTTGGTTTATTATGGTATTAACGTAAAAGATAACATATCCGATACTTGGCGAGCAACGATCAGGAACGAATAAGCGCGAAGGTAGCCGAAAGATGGCGAAGAGAGAGACAGTAGAGAGAGAAGGGGATTTCGATTAATTAGCAATCCAAGATGTTACGTTACGAGAGCAAATGTAGATGGTAATCAAGATTATCCCCGATTTGTTTTGTGAGTAAATTGCGTCTTCGGATTTCGCGACCAGCATCTTCATTAATCCTGATCTTTCGAATGTTTCGATTCAATCTTATTCGTTACGCGTACTGTGCACGTAATATGAGTGTATTGATATCGAACTCGTAATTTCGCAATATATCGATTAATTATCCTAGGCGAATTCAGTTCAGTGGGATGTGCACGTTGTTCGTGTTCGTGTTCGTGTTCGTGTTCTTAATGCGTTTCACGTTTTCGTGATTTTGGATTTTCTTGTGCAGAAGATAGAAAATAGAAAATAGAAAAAGAATGAGTGGTTTAAGGTAATGATATTTAATTTATTCTATTACGTGATTTAGAAAATATTTAGAAAAGAGAAAATTCAATAGTCGAGAATGGAACTATTTGCACACAACGTATTCTACAATATTCAAAGCATTGTCACAATTTCGATTGATTCAAAACACTTTTTCTTTATCAAAATTAAAGATTGTCATGCACGAAATTTATTATAGCCAAAAATTTTCAAAAATTCATCATATCAAATTTCAAGAATTTAAATTGCGATTCATGTCTTGTACAAAGAATATATTCTGCACGATCGCATAACCAAGAAACACGCGTTATGTTCGTTGCTCGTTCAATCGTGGCAAGAGAGTTCAGAATGTAACACATGCTATATGTTTAATATGGCGACCAATAGGAAAGAGAAGAATAAATTAAATTCGCTATCCGTGAATGCAACTTGTATAAGAAGGAAGGGTGGCAGATACCAAGCTAAGCAATATTCGTTTTTCACGCCTTTAGTTTTTCATCTAAATAACATTACAAATTTAATTTCTTTCGGGATTGGAAGGAAAGAAAGGAGGAATGTTGCCTTCTGTCGCAAGAAAAGCAACAGAAAGAGAGAGAGTAAATGAACAGGAGTGAGAAAATAGCTAACGGAAAAAGTTTAAAGCGAAATGATTTCGTTTCGATTGTACATTCATATACAATATATATACGTACATATACAGGATATAATGGATTATAATTATAATTATTTGGATGAGAAAATTTAATTTTTGGACAATTCGCTACTTTTCCGAATAATCGTTGATCTGATAATATTAATTCTTAATTGATATGATGGATTTTTGAAAAGAAGAGTAGAATTTATAATTTAATATATCTAAAGAAAATTCAGAAAAAAGAAAATTCGTTGAGAAAAATATATAACAGTGATCTGATCAGCAATTGAGTCAAATAACTTTGAAATTTCAAAAACTATTTCGAAAAATCTTCAAAATTTACCAAGTTTCCCATTCCTATCTGTATCTGAATACATTTTACAAAACTTTCGACATGTTTAAGAAAATTGGAAGGAAAGATAAAGTCTCTAAAAGGATTTTTTTATAGAATACAATTTTCTTATAGTAGAATATCTCGAAGCAAAGTCAGAATCTCAATTTCCATTTCCAAATCTTCCAAATCCAAGAGAGATTTAGCTCTTGCGATAACAGGACGAGATTCTTCTCCCTATTTTTGTTCGACTCTTCTCGATTATTGGATTAAATAATAAAGCAAGTTATCGAGTTATTCGAGATCTGGTTGTCGGTCACAATCATTAGAATCATCATTCCACGGATCGAATGGTGGAAATGGGTCGAGCAACTTGGAAATTACGTGCACTCGTCTCGATTCGAGTTTGAAACTCGATCTAACATTGATTATTCGAAAGTTGCGAATTTGCGACGGTTGGTACGCGCCGATTTATTCGCTGGATGCCGCGGAATGCATCGGGACGAAGTTGACATTTGCAATTACAGGAACGTCGATAGGGTTGTTGCAAAATTAATTTACGGGTTAAAACGCGGGCCAACCTCCACTGCCATTCGCGATTATTATGCACGATAAAACACGCGATAAACTCATTTTCCATGATTCAATTCCAATTCGAGATTTACTCTTTATTTACCACTTTAAGCGAGCGTAGTAGTCTCGTTTTATTCGTGGTATGGACGAATATTTTAGTATTTTAATATTTATATATACTGTCGAAATGCGAGAATTTTTCTACTATCCAAACTTGAAATATTGTGTTGCATTAATGCGAAATAGATATCGTATATGCGTGTAATCACATCAAATGCGAAACATGGATATCCTATTAGAAATCCTAATGGATTTATAAAAGTTGGTAACTGGATTAATTAACATAGAAAGTAAAACGATCAACTATGTAAAATTTTAACGGTATACGTGCTATTTAATTTTATAGATATCAAATTTTACATTTTTTTTTCACATTTCTCTAAATAATTAATCTTTGTGAATTTTTATGCAAAATAAAATTTGACTAAAGAAATGAAGATTAAATAAAGATTTGCCTCATTCTTCACATATATCATATACTTCATTGTACTTTATTTTGTGCATATCTTTTTTTTTGCATATCGTGTAAACATTTGTATATTTTTAATTTTGCATAAATGCACAAATATTCGCAGTTATAATTTATGTTTATTTAAATTCATTTACCTGTTATCACGAATCGTTAAGTCGGAATTATTAAGTTGGCTTGCAGATAATCGTTGTCAATATCAACGAGGAAAAAAGGATTTGTGGCCGATTTGTGAGGAGTTTAATCGATTGAAGCACTCGGCCGGCAAATGACAGATAGGAGAGTTTGAATCTCGACCAGCAATTCGATTTGCCAGCAATAAACAATAAATCACTTCGATCAGACGAATTAACCTCTTCGAGTTCCCAACCGTTTCACATCATTGTCCATTTAGAAAGCTAATGGCGATTGAAATCGTAACCAATTAATATAACTATGCCAATCACCGGCGTATTATACAGAGTATTATGTCAAATACCACGTTTCAAAGATGAATGCGCTAGATACGATTTTGCAGTTCCCATAATCTGATCCTGACATCGGAGGATATTTATGTTCCGATTCTACTATGATTAATATTCTAATATAGTATTGGGCGTGTTGTGGAATGCGAATCATGAATGTTTTGATTGAATGGGCGAATGTGATGAGATATACACGATATTGCTTCTAAGAATATCTTCTGCGTAACTTTATGCAAAGAAAAATTCAATGGAATAGAAATAAATATTCATTGCATTCTACACTCACGAATTAATATTCATTTGAATTTTCTATATTTTTCTTATTACTCATTGGCGATGACATCATCAGCCAATTATTATTTAATGAACACAAATGTATACCGTCGGTATCTAGAATTTTAGAGTGACTAAACTTTTCTTTTAAATATTAAAATTTAAATATCAAATATTAAAATAATATTAAAATCTTTTAAATTTCTTTTTTTCTTTTAAGATTTTCTATATCGGATCTTTTCTTCTTTACCACACTTTTTTTTTTTTACAGTTTCTTTTCCAAAAAAGAATTTTTTTTGAAAAATCACCAATCTATACTGACTCTAAAAAGGGGATAAAATAAGAAATCTATAAAATTTTTATCGTACAACGCTAAAAAGTTTTTATTCGTTTCCTTACAAGGAATTCAACTGGAATTGAACTAGAAAAATTTTAATTTCTATTCCTATAAGAGAAGACATTCGCGACATTCTCATGCGTTCAACACTCTTCTTTCCATCGTTAAAACTTACGGAGACGGTTTTAAAACGACGGACAACAGGAAACAATTACCATTATCAATAACTATATCATCGATTCAGCCATAGTCGTCGCGAAACACGCGTGTAGTTTTACGACCATTAAATTCACCGGTCATAAAACGACTTGTTGGAGTAAGTAACAGTGAAATATTTTACATTTTCAGATCAAGTCTCGATTTTATCCAACGGTCAATCGATATTCGTGTATACAGGGTGTTTCCTTTGAAACGCGACTATAGAAAAATAATACATAATATATAAAAAGTAATAACAAAAAAATATGTAACAAATAATA